TCCTCCCCCTCCCCCACGCTTCCGTTCCCCTCGTTGGCCTCCCTGATTGGGTTAAGGCATCCTGATGCCACTTTAATGGAATTACTCTGGTTCGGACAGCGGAGGTGCGCGCGAGAACACTGCGGAAAATTATTGGCGGACGGGTCGGCCACCGCTTGCGCCCTTTAGAGAAACCATTTTTAGAATGACCCCTCTGTGCCCTCTGCGACCCCTATAACAAGGGTGTGTATTATTGAATTATTGTTCTTTCTTTTGTTGTTGTTACAGGTAAATACAGTCGGATGTCGTTATCTGAGGTGAGCTTAAACCGCTACGGTATACCATCGGCCCTTCGATAAAGCCTAAACTTCTTCAATAAAAGTAGTGTTTTATAATTATTAAAAAAAGAGGACCGTCTACATGGAGAAAACTGTTTGGTTCGAAGTACTGCGATGCGTACACGTGCTGCAGGCAAATTTTTTCACGTTATTCGAAATAATCCACTAGAATGGGGTCCTTGCCGTCCAGGCTCAACGTTGGACGTGATTTACCTTTTTTTTGGTTAAAAATTAAGTTTGTTTTTTGTGTGTATTTTTTTTTTTTTTTTTTTTTGTTTCGCTGGCGTCGGGAACACGAGCGGATTACCCGGCCGGCCTGCCGGCAGCCAGCGGCGGGCAGCCCATGCATGCTAAAGCTCCGGTGCCCGCCCAGCCCCGCCCCGCCACCCCAGAGGAGGGTATAGAGCGCCTTCGAAAAAAATAAAATACACCAACTGGCTTCACTGGCGTCATTTCCACGGAGAGAGAGAAGGGGGCACCGTCCATCAGAAGCCGAGCCCAGAGGCCAGCCCCAGTCTATTGCGGGGCGTAGAATTGGCTCAGAACTCCTCCTAGGGGTCGCCTGGAGAAACTGTCTTTCTGGGGAACTACTGACGAAATGCATGGCATTCTGTCTCCAAGGCCGACAGTCATGGTAAAATAACAGGTTGGGAGATCCTTTAAAATACGGGGGGACGGAAGTAGACTTGTTTCGGCACAACACCCGTTACGCAAATCGCACGTGTCTACTCGCTCCGCGGCCGAGGGGCCATGGCGCCTGTACAAGGAACCATGAGGAGTTGATAGCCTAGTGATCTGTACCATTTTTCTCTTCCGAAACTGAAAAAGTTCTATTTAAGAAATATTTATAAATCACACACGAAGCCATTTTACTTCCAGTGTATTCTCGGTGGCATAATCAGGGGTTTGCAGAGCCGACCCGAAGCAGCTTTTCAGCAATTAAGGGTGTTGGTAATTATTTCTCTGAGCAGACGAGAGAATGCGCGGGGGAGAGGGGGTGTAGAGAAGAGGGCGTTTGGAGAAAAACGGGGGTAGGGAGGGGAAGGCAAGGCACACTGGCGACACTGTAAAGTGACCAAAAACTATTTTGACAAAACATTAATCATTGTCTATTGGACGCATAAGTCCGACTGTTGTCACATGTGTGGTGACTTCTTTGTTGCTTTGTGACAAGTTGGGATCATCCAGAAAGTACGTCCAACATTCGCCGTCGAACCTACCTAGTTCAGCCCCCGCAAGCTCTCATAGCGCCTGGCAGGCACGCAATATCTCGCCTGCAGTGCATGCGTGTACTACGGTTTGGCGTACCCTGCGTCTCGCAGGGGCCTAGCATCCGTAATTTTCCTAATGAATCTGAGGAAAACAGACGTACTTTCTGGACGATCCCTTATTCGTCACTGAGGAATAAACACTCATCTCGGGGTAGTGTGTTTGGTCACAAGATTGAATACTTCACTGCAAAAAAAATATAACAGGAAAAATGACAGCATCAACCGCTAATTATTTTTCAGCAACGTCTGTTATTCGAATGACAGTATTGCTGTAGTTTCAATGGTTAAAATTTGGTACGGAGAGCAATGTACAGGACCAGGACCACCATACAAGCAAAACCGGACAGAACTGTTTACAGTGGAGCCGTATTCGTACACTGTACCATGTTAAACCTGGGCTTTCCTGTGCAACAGCGACACTGTACTTCGCGCTCTGTACCCTAGGTAGTGACAATAGTAGCATCTACAGTAACGCCGTAGATCGTTCCGTATTGGAATCTAATTTTTTACAGTGATTGTTGCGATAGTGTTGTGCGAATGTTCGAAATCGAATCGAATCGAATCGGGCTCGATTCGATTCGAGTCGAAGCCGAATCACAACGATTCGACCCCGAAAGGTTCGAAATTTCGAATCGGTCACGATTCACCACCGAATCTTGCCGGTTAAGTATGCACCTTTCATAAAGGGCGCACGAGCCGCGTGAGAGTGCCCTGGCAATGAGACGTAAGATTTTCATGCGAAGCTCTGCATACGAAGCACAGACACGACGGTCATTATTTTTTCATCGCGATACTTAAAGAAAGGGGGGGGGGCAAATTTGATTCGATCCGATTCGTTCGCGAATTTAGAAAGATTCGATTCGATTCGAATTTTTTTGACCAGATTCGATTCGATTCGAAGAAAATTTGAAGAGATTCGATTCGATTCTGACCAAAAAACCCGATTCGCACAGCACTATGTTGCGTTGTGCAAAACTGGGTTCAGATACAGTATCGTAACAAGAAGAACACTTTCAGTAACGAGCTGGTTGTCGCCTGCCATGTATTCAGGGAATTGTGTCTACATTATGCATAGAAGAGATGTGTCCATGCACGCAAGTACAGCCCCAGGGTAAGTTAAGTGTCTAAGTGTGCCCTGGAAAAACAAAGGTGCTATCTAATGCCTTTTTACAGGCTTTAGTGAATTAGTGCCTTTGCAAAGGCGCGACTGGCCCCTAAAGGCGCTAATTTTTGCAAATTTAGTGCCTTTAAAAATTCACTAGTGCAGTAGCCTATATAGCAGGTGTTATATAGCACCTTTGTTTTTCCAGTGTATAGTTGGGCATGTAGTACTACGGACTCCTGCGTAACATGAGCATGTACACACTATGTCCCGAATACTAGATCATCTACACACTATCTCCTCCTGAATACATGTTAACAGTTGAAGTGCTAGGGTGCGGGGTTCCACAGTGGGTCTCTCGAGAGGCGCGGTACAGGATGAGAAGGGGGCTATGGTATCGTTTACTCAGACCCAGACAGCCGTGGGGGCGCGCTGTAAAACTGCCTAATTAGGATGACAAACGCGACCAGGGGGTTAGGGGCGAAGCGAGGCGGGGGGGAGGGGGGGGGGTAGAATAAGACGAGAAAAATAATGCGTCGTGTCGACAAATAGTCGTTTGCTAACGACCACCACACCGCGGCCGAGCCGAGCGCTGGGTGCGCAGCGCAGCAGAGAGAGATTCCATCTGCAAACTCGGCCGCCATCGCCTCGTGCGATCAGCAAGGGCAGGTGGCGCTGCGCTGCGGCGTCTCGCCTCTCTGCGCGTGCGGCTGCCGGCCCGGCGGCCCGGCTTGGCCCGACCCGTTCCGACCCAGAGGCGCTGGTGGCGCTCGTTAGCCGACCCCCCGACCACGAGGGGACGCCGGGTAGGATACCCATCAGCAACAGGGGCTGCGCCGTAATGTCCGCCGGAATACGGAGAGACAGTTCAAGGAATAATCGCACCCCGAACGAGGCCTCCTGGTTAAACAAACGTCTATAGATTTTCGACACCACCAAAAACCGAGGTTTTGGACCAAGTACATACTCAGTCCTTGATTTTTCAACTTCATACTTCTTGAATCAAGACATATGTTTTTGAAAGGGGGACTCATCTTCTTTAAAAAACAAAGAGGACAAAAAGCACGTCAGAAACGATAGGATGTCAAAACGTTGTCGTTGATATATGATTTTTACGTGTGAGATTTGCGGGATAACGGAAACGATTTCGTTCAAATTTCTTTTATAAAACCGTATCAAAACAGCTCCGAATTTCTGGCGGTGAACTAAGAAAAGTCTCTCCCCCTCCCCCCCTTTTCCAGCTTAACGTGGCGTGTGTGGTATCAGCATCCTCAGCAGCCGCTTGCGTAGCTCGCACCACTCCCCACCGCCACCTGCTCCTTGACGCTCCATATTTCATGCGCCACCTGACCGCGCGCCCCTACATCACGCGCATCGCCGACCTGGACCAATTTTGAACGGTCCCGCCAAAACTCTCCCGCGCACCGCCGAGCGGCTCGGGTATAGACGGCAAAAGTCACGCGCCGTGTTGGGGGGCCGTCCGGTCGGCGGACTAAGGTCAGCTGAGGTCCCGGGGCCAGCGGCCAGCCGGCCAGCCCCGCCAGCCGAGCCCCACCAGCCCCACTAGCCCCGCCAGCCCCGCCAGCCCTGCCAGCCCCAATAGGCCCGCCACCCTGACTCCGACAATAAGTATGAGGAATCGAGCTTGCAGGGATGATTTAGAGGCAAGCTATCGCCTTGCTATCGGCCTCGTCCAGCAGCAGCAGCAGCAGCAGCAGCAGCAGCAGCCAACAGCAGCAGTAGCAGCAGCAGCAGGAGCAGCAGCTAAGAGGCCCGCAGCGCCGACTTCCTCGGCGTCGGCCACGAGGCGGGCATGAGCCCAGCAGCCCGGCCCACAGGGACGCGGCGCAGCGTAGCGCGGCCATATCACATGGACATTAAAATATTTCAAATAAATGAGCAAGCGCTTATCCGCGTGCTTGGCGATAGCTCGGCCGACACACGCATGGATCGTCTACGCGCTGACCCTGACGGGCGAATATCGCCACTTCCCTTACTTTCTGTGTAATGTGCACACAATTTAC